ACGTTTAAATGGTTTCCTCAAATGATTAACCCTGTTTTTCTTGCAATGTTTAGGATTTAACCATTGATAGCATAGGTTGAAAGAGAATGTCTATTTTTAAAACGTTATTATATCAACAGTGTGTGTAAAGTAAAAATGTTTTATATAAAATATTTTTCAAATATTATTATGTCACAGAGTGAGAAAAATGTGCAGCCTGACCGGGACTCGAACCCGGGACCATCGGTATATGGTACCGCTATATTCAGTCACGGTCCCCTGTTGGGCGCCAAATGTCACAGGGTGAGAAAAATGTGCAGTCTGACCGACTGAGCTTCTCCCTAAATAGTGAACAGTTCTGAACCGTGACATACTCCCCTGCTTTATTGAAATTCGTCCTCGAATTTTCAAAGAGTTACAGAGCAATGTGAATTATACTCTGAGCTATATTCAGTCACGGTCCCCCAGTGGGCGCCAAATGTCCACAGGGTGAGAAAAATGTGCAGCCTGACCATGACTCGAACCCGGGACCATCGGAATACCGTACCGTGGCTCTACCGACTAAGCTATCCGGCCGCTTACACATCTTCTCCCCTAAATAGTGGACAGTTACGTGACAATTATAAACGAGTAATGCTTAGTAACTCTAGAATTGGATCGTCATTTATAAGCTAGTACCAGTTTAGTATGACCAATATTCTGATAACTACTCTAGTAGCTTTCTAACATACAACAATTCATTTCAGTATTACTTTTAATACTCTGGTGCATCGAGATAATTAATCGAGAATCTCTCACGAACAATCTTGATCAGAACAAGTCTGCATTTTTCATTTTTTTCTGAAAAGGAATCTTCCCTTTACGAGAGTTTTGTGACAATTGCAAAAAAATATAAATTGAGTTGACGTTTAATTAAAGACTTGGTATTAAAGATCAATACACCACTTTCTTTATTACTAAAGATTATTTTAAAAGATCCTGAGATCAACTGTATGTTTTATTAAAAACATGCTTATTTATTTGTTATAATGCTGACACTTAAATCTCAGTTGCACTGTAAATGTAAATGTTCAAGAATAGAAAACACCTTTAAAGCTGCACGCCTCCAGATAAACAAAAATATTTCGATAAAGTCAAACCTGGGAAAAATGTACTAACATTTTATAAAAAATATAAAGATTCAAAATTCTAGTAATAATTTACACGATTAATGACCGTTTTTTTCCAGTATTTATAACGACATTTCTACTGCGTTACTAACGCAGTAAGGGCTATTTTGTACATTTTGACTTCTTAATGGTAATTTACGCGGATTTTAAGTGCCATTGATAATGTGAAACTTGCATTTTTTTGGTAACTTCACAATATTATACTGTTAAATTCACTTTTAAATTTTCAGGAAAACTAGCATGAATCTAACGCATATTTGCAACAGATATTCTTCAAACACTTCAATGAACATTCGAAAACTGTATTGATATATAACAGTACAGTTTTTTCATTGATTCATATAGGAAATAACTCGACTGCTATTTGGCGGTTGAGTTTTTTTTCGCATCTTGTATATATATATATATATATATATATATATATATATATATATATATATATATATATTCACACACACAAACACACACGCACGCAAGCACACACACACATATACATTTTGTAAATATATTCCAGTCATATATATGTTAATACACTTCTAACATCACGAGGGCTAAGCACTTTCTTACCAAAGTCAGTTTGAATCCGTAGATAAGACTCTTGTTGGAATTTGAATATTGTCCGCCTATTGTATCGTTAAAGGAAACAAACCTCAACGAACTGTATGGAAGTCCTGAAACAACCTCCCCTTGACTGCAGTGGCGTACCTACCGATACGCCAATACGCACGGGCTATTAAAAAGAAAAAGTTTCGAAAAAAAAATGAAATCATTAATTTGGGCGAAGATCGATCGGCATATTCGTAGCTGCTTATTGATTCTACAGGTATGCTTAGGATGTTACCTTATTCGAATATGCGTTACTTTTTTATGCCCAATCAAAACTGAAGAAAGGGAGTAAAAATATGATACAAACAATTTCTTGGGAATTTTCTTTTTGTCAGCTTAATTAAGCGTTATATCGCTAATATACCGCGTCAAAATCCAAAACAAGGATAAGAACTGGCCAATATATTACAATATGTTTTTCAGAAGAATCAAATCAGTGAAAAGTAAACATTTATTTCATTTTATACATCTGGATCTATATGCAAAATAAAGATCTTGTTTGCAACTTGGCGTTTGCAGCAAAATGGAAGGGAGTGAGTTAGCGGAATGTCTTTTTATATTTTACTTTGTAACTATAAATCAGTATATCATTTTTAAGTTCAGTAATATTCATTCAACTTATATTCATTTCAAATTATGTAGAATAGTTTTGACACTGTGAATCAGATCTTTGCAGTGAAGTATTGCAAACATCCATCGTCACAAACCAAATTCAACTTTTGTTTATCTGACCGTTAAATAGAATACAAATTAAGTATTTACAAAATATTTCACTACAGAAAATTGTTTCTATTGTATATATATTCTTTATTATACGTAGTCTCATCTATACATATTTCAACATAGACAAATATACAACGAGAACAATGTATAACCATATAAGACACATCATGTCTAAATTCATTTATTTTCGCCGACTTAAGATAACAAATTGGCGAGTCTGTTTATACCAACATGTTTTATGTGCGTGAGGCATTCAACTTCGTAATGAAATTACTTAAATATTTCGAATGGAAATTGAAAGAGTAGAGTTGAGAACAAAAATGTTAAAGACAATATTTATTGTCTACAACATTGACATTAAACTTATAAAAATATTTTAAGGAAGCTAAATGATCGTGCAATACTACATTTTAGCTGTGAATACGATAACCTTTTCGTTACACTAAACATTTAAGCTGTTGTGTTTGTATTAAAGTCATACAGATCATTTTAAAGGATATTTTCCTTGATTATATCTCACGTTAAGTTATGGTGAAACAAAAGAAAAATAACAAAGAAAAAACTAAACTTGTTACAAAAGGAAATAAAACCCATCTTTTTACAAAAGAGACGCCTGGCTATGTTTCGTTTTTTTCTAAAAGCAAATAACTTTTGAACTATTTAAAACAGTGTACACGTTAGACTTCATGCTATTTCTCACATTCAATATATGTACTTGATGTTATTTTCATAACTATAGATAAAGACAATAGTAGAGTACAATTATATTAAATATCCCCTAAATCCTTAGTTATAGCACATAGCTATCTTTGATCTCTGGCGATCCTTCGGTCAAAAACCGGCACTCGGCGTACACTCATAATAAGCCGAGGTACGTCTCTGGGCTTCTTATTTCTGTAAATATTTTGCTCCAGTTTCTGTAGATCTATACAGCAGTTCAAAGCGTTCAGCACTGCTGGAAACAACAGTATACATGTACTTAGATCTACGATCAAAATATAAAAAAAAATATATCATTTAAAGAACTACACACAAAATTTAAAAAACATTTATCTTAGCATCTAAATAACCCCGACTGCTCAGAAAAATCTAGATTCTCACATATCTACTCCTTGTAAAAATAATAGAGACACGTTATGATGCCATTGTGAACTACAACAACATGTCGACTTAGTTCTATACTGTACATATACCCTTTTAATAAAAATTAAATTTATGGATACTAATAAAGTATATGTTAGATCTACTTGATTAAAGTTTATAACGTATTTTTCTTCACTTTTAGTGTAGAGATAATCTAACTTCAGCTTCAATCGCAACTACTCGGCACTTTCCGTCAGTCTTCGGATAAAGACCTCTAACACAATAGTATGAATACACAAAACGGATTTGGTCTTTCGGTCTAACCTATGCTAAGAAACTAAATATGTAAACAAATAGTAATTAAATACTGGGAGTTGTTGACAAGTTTATTTCCAATATATGTAGTAAAAGTCCACCTAAAATAAGTGAATTCAAAGGTACAAAAGCAAACAATACATTATTTTTATATTTATTACTATGGTTGTAGAAACAGAAAGTACAAAAAACCAACCTGTTGACATTTAGTCGGATGTGTTTAAAATTGAACATCAGTGGGCATATTTAACTTATAAATTGTTGTCAGACATATTCAAGCATAAGAGTAACGGAACAGACATTAGATGTCAAATATATACATTCGTTTTACTGTTTACATCTGGAACCACGTGACAGAACTACTTTCAATCCGTATTGTTTTCGAGGTTATTATAGATAATAGCCGTGGCAGTTCCGAATGCTTCAGCTTGCGTTTCACCGACGCTTACTTGTTGTTGTTGTTGTACTTGAATTGGTGCCCTCGTGCGAATGCTCATTATGACGTCACAAATTGTCACAATTCTATTTTTAGACACGTTTTGAATTAGAACATTTGATGAACGCAACTGTTCATATTATGTTCAACTTTATAATGTTTCAATTTTTAAAGCATCAATACTTATTGAATTGCGTAAATCTAACATCAGTTACAATGACACTTTGACCAAAAAAAAAAAATCCCCAAGTACTTAAAAACTCAAATTACTTTCATGTGTCTAGTTCAGAAAGACGCCATTGAACCCACTGGACGTTCAGTAATAAGTGTTCAACTCGTACATAGAACCACCTTTCGGCTGAACACGGTTTCAAAAAAAAACGGCGAAATAGTTCCAAATTGAAAAGTGTAACGAGATCGGGTGTTTTCCTTATTTCCCAGTGGGGAAGCGGCGGTCTATGTAAAGAAAAATCAAACTGTTTTCCTCAAACTGTATCTTAAAAGGGATTTTCCTTCGATACCGTTTTTCAGTGGCTTTTATGCTAAACAACTATTACTAAAAATTTATTACGGGGCCTCATACTAAAATAACCCAACGCATTATTTCCTTGTAATCAAATACAATTTTTCTCTCAGCGATATAAATTCAATACATTTTCTGAATTTTTATTTTTAATTCCTGTTCATCAAAATGGGTTTCTCTTTGTTATTTTTCAATTGCTGTTGTCGTTGGAATATATAGTTATAATTTTTCTGAGGCTAGAGAGCCTGTTTGTTCTAAATTTGCATATGAAGAACAGCTTTTAGAGAAAATGATAAGAACTGAAATTAAGGTAGAAACAATGGTGAATGAAATTAAGAAAACTGAGGATAATGTCATCAGTACATTAGGCGACATCAAACGAGCAGTAGCTGACTTTACGGACATGTTTGCAGACATGAGAGGAAACATAACGGATGAGATGTTAAAGAGAGGCGATGAGATAAAAAGGAGAGAAGGTATAATAAAACAGTTATTTCACATTAAATTCACATTTCTTATACATAAATATTTATACCGGAACTGTACTGATAAAGAACGAAATAAATGTGATATATTTGTATTTTCTTTATCTTTTATTGTTGTTCAATTGTTAGCATCAATGTATTTTAATAATGGGTATTGATTTATTGAATATAGTTAAAACAATGAAGATATAAAAACTTAAAAATATTTATAAAATTAAACCATTATTTTTGCAAATAAATTGACATTTAATACACCATTGTTAGCAAACAATGACGTTTTCGCCTAAAATTTCGATAAACTGCTTTCAAATGTTATAATATGACATGACTTTTGTTGTCGAACTTTATAAACATTATTTTCTTTATTAACCTAAGCACGTATTGAATGATATTAAATGATAATCGATACATCTCCAAGAAAAATCGACTGTTTATAAAGCTTTAATAGAGAAATGAATCTTTAAAGAAAAGGTGATTACTAAATAACCTTGGACTTTGGTAATGATAAGTTAATACTTTATTACAGAATCGTTCAAGACTCTTTTTGAAGAAACAAGAAACAACATCACTAGAGGCACTGACTCTCAAAAAGAGGAACTTATTCAACTTCAAGGTAGTGTATCTTACTTTGTTTCAACGTCACCTGTGTAAGATAAAATTGTATTTCATTTATATCTATCTAAAACCTTTCATAACAAATAAGATTGTTGCTAATTTGACTGATGCATTCATTTAATCAATCACTTTGTCAGTAATATATTCAACAAACTAGAATGATCTGATATGTTGCTCTATGTGTAAATTTGTAACTCTCATTAGATGTTCAAATGATTTAATTCGCTCATTCAATTTTCAAGTATTCCGTAATTTAATCTCTAAAGATATTGTCCGAAACGAATATTAGGCTTGTTTTTGTTATTTACGTATGCCCCGTTATTTAGATATCGCTGAAATTTATTTTACAGTTTAAATATATAAACACCTATATTCAGATAAATAATTATAGCGTGAATTAACTATCCTTGTGCATCGTAAACTGACAATGAAATATGAAAACCCGAAATAAATTGATATTTTACAAAATATCAATATGTGTTACAATATGAAATACAAAACTATTATTTCTATACTCAGGTAAACTTGAAAAACCTCCGATCGCTTTCTACGCACATCACGTGAAAGACCTGGTTCTTGATACTGCAAATAAGATTCTCGTGTTTGAGAAGACAATCACTAACGAGGGAACAGGTTACGACACGTCCACGGGAATCTTCACGGCACCGGTCGGAGGACTGTACCAGTTTGTTGTACATGCATGTGCTAGGTATAGTAAATATGCATATCTTGGCCTGGTGTTGGGAGGTAACGTTATTGCAGCAGATGCTAACTATGGTGATGAATCGCATGGCTGTAATACGTTTGGTTCAATAGTGAGGGTAAAATTAGGAGCAAAAGTTTGGGTTAAATCCACATCGCCAAGTTCTAACCGCCAGCTTATCCAAGATACACATGGGATGAACACATTCAGCGGAGTGCTTGTCAATAACTGAATTATAAACTAAACCAATTAACATTTATTTTAGTAAAAATCTGATTTTGACAGTCTTAATACTTGATGTTAAAAGTGAACATTTTACAATAAATTGTTTTAAATTTTTTTTGTGAATCACTTTCTCGTCAAACAGAAGATCTAATGAACCAAACGATTGGTCAATGATATGTTGTAAAGAATAAAAACCTTGCATTTATGCTTTTTGCATATGATTGATATTATAAGAGAATTATATGATAAACTATAGTAGAATATGAATCAAAGTCTGTTCGAAATGTTTAACAATAATGTAAGGAAAGCTTATGCAACATATTTTCGAGTATATTTTTGTTTAAAAGTATCATTAAACAGTCAAGCAATTTTAGATCATGAAAACAAATTAATGCATATTTTAGTAACATTAAGTCTATTTCAAAATATTACCTGTACAAATTTGTATACAATCGTTATATATTTTGATGAATTAAAGTACAGTGGCAGATGCAAAAATAGGGTCAAAACGGGCACATTAGTGAGTAAATGAATCAAAATCATTTGTATTAAATCAAATGATAAATTAACTGGCATATGCGGCAGCAAAAAACATTATATTTACATTTCATATAGAGGTTTTGAAGATCAATTTTCGTTTTTAATCTAAATGTGAACAATTCTATTGTTTTTTTATATTTGGTATACCTGAAACATATGTCACACCATTAGTGTCATATGATAATAAAAAGCAGATAAAACGAATGCTTCCTTATATCACTGTATAACGCTAGTAATTCTCGAATTCTGTGCGAAAGCTGACTTCTGTTAGTTGTAATTACTTCAACTATTTACCTTTGTGTTACTCAATTCGATGATAAATTTACACATATTCGACATTATTTTTGCACTATTCCTGTTTTTATTTTTAATTCAAAGTTTCACGAGGAAATTATTCATGTTGGGAATATAGACGCTTGATTTATAACCATTGTCACATTATTATGATATTGGAGCTTGAAGTAAATGTTATAAGAAATGAAGAAGTTTTAAAAATTATAATATCTAGAAAAAATATCTAAGTTCAAGGGGGACAAAAAAAGTCAAGTTAGAGTATTGAACCTTCTCCCAAATGACTTGAGTGATGATAAGACAAACACACATATATATTTGTTTGTGCTAAAGTTGTAAACATTATCACATATGGTGTGGTTGATGATCAGAAACATATATTTGAGGTTCGAAGAAAATACCTTAAGAAATTTCAAAGTGAAAAAGCGTAAAACTTGAATCATAAATATTGACGAGGTCAGCTTGGTGAGTAGGTCAGCTCTCAATATACTCCCTATAAAAAAGATCAAAATGATGCGTATAATCTGCCATTTATCCATATTTTAAGTTTTATAAAAAATGTTTTCACTACTTTTTAGTGTTCACAAATATTGTAATATTTGCCATATTTCAAGCGTATTTGTTGCCATAGCAACCAAATCTTTTAACATAGAAAGAAAAGAAAAAGCTGTGTATAATCTCCAGACTGCAATCTACCCATATTTCAAGTTTCATAAAAATATTTTCCGTACTTTTTGCGTTATCACAGAATCTATGGTATGTGTTAAATTAGCCATATTTTCAGTCTATTTGTTGCCATAGTAATCAGAGTTTTCAACATAGGAAGGAAAGGAAAGACGTGAACATTTTCCAGACTGCCATCTATCGATATGTCAAGTTTCGTAAAAATATTTTCAGTACCTTTGCGTTATCGTGAGATCCAGTTTTGTGGACGGACGGACTGACGGACAGACTGACGGACGTACAGACAGACAGACGGAGGGTAAACCTAAAGTTTCATCCAGATAAACCGTTAGGGAACAAAAAGCAGGCGACATATTCTAAGGGTGATTAAAAATTATTTAAGTAGGAAAATTGGAACCACCGAACTAGAAAATGCCGAATAGTTGAAACTAAAATGTACCACAAACACAAAAATGATGTCGTGCTGAACGACCTTTAAGGATCGGAAATATAACATCTCTGATTGAATGTACGGGACGACATTTTACAGTCTCTAAACGGCACAAACAACGCTGATATGGCGATAAAAAAGAGAAAATAAGAAGTCTCATCCATTCATAACAACATATAAAATAGTTTAAATATTAGATAATCTTTCAAGATAAAAGTTGTCTGTGTACGGCCATTCTATTCTGAATAACAAGATACTGTAAAAGAAACAAAGTGGAAGGAAGGCAACTCAAGAGTTTATACTGCAAGCATTTACAATATGCAGAGTCGCCTCTCTTCCCATTCCGCATTTATATACATATACTACAACTAGAATAAGACACCATTGCTAATCTTGTTCTGAAAGAACATCTGGTAATATTTCTTTATATTAAACACGCCAGCAATGGCCTCTAATTTTAAACAATTATCATAAAGCATTCTTGAACTGATAAGCAACAGATTCTCAACCTGTCAAATTATTTACAACACATTTTCTTACATCACTGAAAAGATAAAGAAGAAAGAAATGAATGAAAATAAATACTGCATTTATACATATATATTGCATTTGCCTAAACTTGAGGAACAAAGTACTAATCATAAAACCGTGAGTATACGCTGCTTAAGAGACTCAGAGAGTATAGTACAAAATATCTTAAATTAAAATATCATGACCATTATGAATCATTATGAATACATAGTTCTAAGGTATTTCTTTGTAAATATCTGGTCTTGTCAGACAGACTCGATCATATACAACATATAAAAAGATTGACGCGCGTACATGCAGGAACATAAGATAATTAATGTAATAAAAGATACAAATGAAAACAATCATTGTGAATGATTTTCATAATATATTTATCTATCATTAAAACTGGAGACAAATTCTAAGCAGGATAATTATGCTAATAGAATGCACTTACCAATAACTTCGACGTCCCTATATCACATCTCACAATAAAAGAATAATGTTAAGACATTAAAAAAATTATTTAATTGGGTAATTTTAATAATCCTAGAAGTTGAAATTCCTGAATTTGATAAGTTCACAATATGACAGAAATTGATGTTTATTTTGTTTTAGTTATTACACATTAAATGGTATATTCCATAATATATATGAGAAAAAAAAAACTCAAGAAAAGTTCCAAATGTAAAAGTGTACCTCAATTTCATACCGATCAAATATAATAAAATTTGTCAATGGGAAAAGTTTTTGCGTGTCAAATGACGTCTTTTTGATTTACTACACGTACCGTCATTTGAGGCTACTGTCAACACTTACAATATAGCGAAGACATCTGGAAATCCCTGGCAATATTCACACTCAAAGACGTAAATGTCAATATCCTTTGGTAAGGCTTTATCCTTTAAACAAGCAGAATACAACCGGCATAAAACAGTGCAAACGCTGCTGATTTGCATCAAAAATCTCCAAACCTTTTGGATTGCTACGTACCAACTTTAAAGTCAATCTATATTGATAATTCTAAAACGTGTCTAAAGTGTCAGAGGCAAGTACTTGATGTAGACAACTTGCGCATTTAACATTTTTGAATTATTGCCTTTAAAGGGGAAGTCAGGGCTGTTTTATAGATATATTGCACGTCGCTCCAACACAACATTGTAAAGGTTGTATGGCGACATCAAACTGTTTTGATGCATATCATCCCAAACGTTATCGTCAGCCATTATCAACGTATGTGCTTAATCCAAAAGAATAATGGTTTGTAAGTTGGAAATCGGACTCGTACAACGATCTTTCTGTTAAGGAAAGACCTGGTTACATAGTTCATGGAGCTTATGGCCTAGTACTAAGCTGATATCATGTACATGAAACATTGTTTATGCCTAACTTTACTGAGAAATCATAGCTTGGTAACCTAATCAAGAAGTTTACATATACCTTGTCATTAAAAACGACCATAGTTTCAATTTTAAACTCGCATTAAGGGATCACGTGTTATATAAATGTTGGATTTCTTTCGTAAAGAAAACACTTCAAAATATAATGTTTTAAAAACATACGTGATTCATTACCTCCGGTTATATCAAACCTTAACATAGGAGTTTCTCCAAATATCCAGTTAATTGCTAACAAATTATTAATTTCAAATATTGTTCTACTTTATTGCAGATAATGCGAATTCGTTTTATTTAATAGATTTGAAATAAAAAAAAGAGAAATAAACGATCAGAAAATGTTTAATATTTCATTTAAGAGTCCACTATTGGTTATTTATAAAATAAATTGATGTCAATGTGTGGGAATTCACGCGGTTGATGAAAAGTACATGGGCATTAATTTTCAGTAATAAATTCTTCTGTTAAGAATTTGCCTAAGTAAAGCCTTCCCATAAATGATCAGTTGATTGATATACTTTATTCAAATTTATAACGTATAATGATAAATTATTCTTTCATGCAATTATGTTAACAGTTAATAAATTGCTCTTTGCTCGGACGCGCTTGTTGTTTGTTGTGTTTTCTTTTTATAGAAAAAGGTGCTAACATAGGATGGTGATATTATCTTTAGATAGTTTGTAAAAGTTAATTTACAATAAATGAATAATAAAAACAAAACACATGGAGTTTCTATATGCATCATAAAATCTTTAACTGAATAGTTAATCTATCGACAGGTAACTTTTTAATCTGATAGAAGAGTATTTTATTGCATATATGGCGTTTTCACTACATTTACCGAAGATATTGTTAAAATTCAATTTTATGATATCTGATACGTGTCAAGTTATTTATCTACCATTAAGTTAAACCTGCTGAGTTATAATGGAATTTCAAATATTTTTGTAGACGCCGCATGGGTAATGTAAATTTATTTGATAACACTTATTGAAGCCAAACTAAAATTGCTATCTATTTAGAGTGTTCTTATTTTATCAGGGTGCAATAAAGACACACTTTGATTTTTTAATTTCTTTTATCACGATTTTTGATGTTTCTGTGTGTTAACTATGAAATATACGCCAGAAAATATTTATAAACAAGCGATGCTATGACAATAAAGATATAGATAAATGTTTATTTATTGTGCTAACTTTGTAGGTCCGGTAGGAGGGTTTCGCAATGATTAAGGTTTCAATTTGGTTAACTATGAATTTAACAATTTCCATGATAATGTGCCTAGAATAATTTTGTAAAGACACTTATAAATTATAAACCCATATAATTCAAACATTTTCACAAATTTTCATAGATAAATATCAACAAACAACAAAAATATGCCATAAACACCATGGCAACTAACTGAATCGCGGCGCACGTCCAACGTCAAAGACGGCGTTAAATCTATATATGGCGCCTTTCTCAAATACTCTCAATGGCTTTAAACGCAATAATGGTACCTATAAGTCGTCAATTTCTGACTTAAATCATGTGGTTGTTAATATCTGTTGAATGCTTGGATGGCATACATTAATTTTTGCTATACGCGGACTTCCGGTCTCGTTACTCTTTTTTTTAGCTGTAGGAAATAGTCGACGAAGATCGGTCTTCCTATCCGTGTTTTCCTTATTTTCGCTTTTTGTAGCGCAAAACTCTGGTTCCGTTCATGCCTTTTGTACACAAATGCTCAGAATATGTTCCTAAACTGTTATATTTGGTATATTTGTTGAAAATCGTAACATATGTCATCTCGAAATAGTCATGAAACCTGAGTGACATGTTCACTGCGCCGCAAATTCTTCGAACGTCGCCATTTTAACTTTCCTATTTTATATGAGATATTTTCATTTATTCGTATCTTTTGCGTTTTTTAAGTTATTTAACTAAAGTTTTCAGAGATGATTTAAACATAGCAGCAGAGGAAGTCAACGTGACATTGTGCAGACACATCATCAGATATTTGAAATATACGTAATTAATTTCAGCCTATTCATAACAAAATGTAAATTATTTGACGTGCGCCGGCAACTCAAACCAATGTCGTTAATACTGAAAATTTCTAAGTAACTAGGGTAATTTTTGTTTAATGATTTGTTGTAATGTTAAATAATAAACTTAACGGTTATATGTGTGAATTATTTTCTATTGGCGTTAAAAATGAACCGGCTATAAAATTTGTCACGGACTTTTGGGACAACCCTCGTATTAATTGCCTGACAGCTATAAGGTTTTGATGTCCTGCTTAAAATTCCAAAAATAAAGTCACGCATTGCTTATTATCTCAGCAATCTGTTGGCTCTATTGCTTTGTATATGTTGTGTCCGTGTTTCGCTAGGTACAAAGTCTTTAAGAAGCTAGCGACATAAATTCTTCAAAACCGTATAGTATAGTACCCATAGGTTCGAAAGAAATATCCAAATGTTTCTTTGTAATCAGTACAAACCACAAAGTATAAAAAAACAGGATTTACGTTTGATGCTTGGTAAAACCCACAGTGTTGGAGCAATAAATAAATATATTACCACTTTTCGATTCACCAAAATAGTTTTGAAAAAAACATTATATGGATAAACCAAGTTTTTAGTTATCCCTTTTCAAGGCATTAATACGCTGCTAAAGCGATGTCATTATCCTTATACAGATAAAGAAGATTCTCGTTGTGATATCTATACAGTTTGTCAAACGATTTGTTCCTTGATTATTAACTTTCTATCATATATTATAAAACCCAATGACTCAATTTGAAACGAACAAGGGCGGGATTAACTCAAATACTTTAGCATCTTAGTCCTTACAGATTATATTCTAGGCTCCAGTAATGATTTATTTTGTATGTTTTATGAATTAAATAGGTCTGCTACGATATACGCATCGTATACCCCAATATAAACTCAAAATTATCAGAATATTTATGATATAAAAAAACCAATAACATTGGTTTACCTAAACTTAATTTATCTCAGTATTGATCTCCTTGCACTGGAACATAATGATTATTATACACAAATACGGACCTCATTTTCAAACACAAATATTTTTCTTTGAATAAATACAGCAGTTTCTCTCACATGGTTCAATCCTAAAAGCTTCTCAGATTTATGTTGCAACTTTACTAATGAAAATGAGGTTCTCACTGTTGTTTGCGTTTGTTATTTTCGTTGGAATATATAGTTATAATTTCTCTGAGGCAAGAGAGCCCGTGTGTTCTAAATTTGCATACGAAGAACAGCTTTTAGAGAAAATGATAAGAACTGAAATTAAGGTAGAAACAATGGTAAATGAAATTAAGAATACTGAGGATAAAGTTATCAGTACATTAGGCGACATTAAACGAGCAGTTTCAGATTTTACGGGCATGTTTGCAGACATGAAGGAGAACATAACAGACAACATGTTAAAGAAAAGTGACGAGATAAAAAGGAGGGAAGGTAAAATATGAACACCAGATCTAAATTGTTAGAAAATGATACGTATACTGAAATATTACTGATGTAATGCGAATATGATATATATTTAGCATATAATTTACAACTGTTCTGTTTGTTGTCTGAAGTCTGAATCAATATAACTTAAAATTTCGTATTACTTTATGCAAACTGAAATGAGAAAATCTGTTAAATGATAAAAGCGTGGAACATATGAAATTTAAAGAAACATTAGCTGTTAAAGAGAATTCATTTCATATATCGGTTACTTTAAATATACCTAAAATGTGTATGTTTATAAACGGTAGAATATGGCATAAATAATATTGCCGCAAACTTATATTCTATTATAAGTTTCCTTAACCCGTCTCATTTCGAAACTAAACATATAATGACAATATTATAAATAAATTATTAATAAAAAGTAAAGGCAAGTGAAAACGAAATCATGTATAAATATAACAACATTAAAAAGAACATTTTCATATTGACATTTTTTTTATAAAACGATTGATAATTAACATGATCGTGCTAAACAATTTGCATGTACGAGCATAAACATGTATCAAATTTATAAAAATAATAAATCAGTTATTTTTTGCAATTCTGCCATTTTCTGTCGTGTTAGTTCTTTAGTTCTTTTTATTTGTTGCACAAAAGAACACTGCTGTATTTTTAATTATGTTTGCGATATTCATGTTTGTTTGTATATTTCTGATCTATACAAAACATGAATAACAGTGAACATTTATGTTAAGACGAATATACCAAATCAAACATATTTCCAGGAAGGAAAACGCTAACTCATCACATTGATTTTTTTTTATAAGGGAACATATTCCCTGATTTTTTATTATAATTTTCTATATTGAATAAGGTTATGAAATGGCTATTTTGTCACCCAAAAGAACATTGAAATTTGATTATAGAATGTGACCGAGGAAAATTAAAATATTTATTACTTTCTGCAGACAGTTTACATGTACACAAAATTACACATATAATATTTATTGAACTTTGATAACCATTAGTAATTGTACTTTGATACTATTTGTACAGAATCCTTCAAGAAATTATTTGAGGAGACACGAACAAACCTCACGAGTGACATTGAAGCTAAAACAGAAGAACTTACTAAACTACAAGGTATTATTTCGCATTTCTCTTCCATGTGATGATTTTTTCCAAAATGTTGTTTTGATTTTATGATTCAGCTGGTTTTATGATTTAGTTGGATCTTTTGAAGCTCATTCACGTACAATATTTTATCAACTATCAGTTTGAATACGTTTTTTTATATTTGACTAACCTGTTGCTGTAACTATAGATTTGTCCTTCCTACCATCGTTCAACATATTCAAATACTTGTATAACTTCTTATTTTGAAAACATTTCTTCATTTTTATTTTACATATATGATTCTTTAATATAAATATCTTATTCCCTTTATATTATATTCTGCGTCAGAAAATGGCTAACACGTTAGCCAATAGAAATTCAAGACAAATAATGAAATTTGATTATAGACGGAGAGCAAGGAAAATAAAAAAAGATGTAAGAATGCATGTTGTTTTGCTTCCTTAAAGTTTCATTTCAAAAGTAACACAAGTGTCTATGTAAAAATATATTACAATTTAAGTTTCGTATTTTCAGCAACACTTTCTGCAAACAGTCCACATGTACCCCAAATAACACATATAATACTTATTGAACTTTGATGACCGTTAGTAATTGTACTTTGATATTATTTTTACAGGATTCTTCAAGAACTTATTTGATGAGACAAGAACAAACCTCACTAGTGACATGGAAGCTAAAAGAGAAGAACTTACTCAACTTCAGGGTATTTTTCCAATTTCTCTAACACGTGATGATAATTTTTCAAAACTGTGTTAAATATCATTTTTTTTTTTGATTAAATGATATTTATTGGTTATTTTAAAGTGCATTCACGTACTAAAATACATCAATAATCAGCTTAAAATATTAAGAACTTGTTCAACTAACACGTTGCTTTTACTATACACCGATCCTTTCATAATCTTTAAACTTATTTAATTACTTGTTTATATACTAATTTTGAATACATGTCATCATCTTTATTTTACAAACATAATTCTAGTATAGCTCTAAAGATATCATGTTTTACACAGATATCTATAATATATTTCCGAACCGCTTATATAACAAATTGAATTCCAAATTTAAATCAGGAAGTCTGGTTATTCTTTATATTTAACCATCGAGTGTTGATACGCATTGGAATTCTTAATAACCAGATGTACAAACAAATATTAAATCATAACGAAACAATTGTAAGAAACATTTACTTACTTCACTATTTTCTATACTCAGGTAAACTTGAACGACCTCCGATTGCTTTCTATGCACATCACGTGTTAGATTTGGTTCTTGATACTACAGATGAGATTGTTATATTTACGAAAAGTGTGATTAACGAGGGAACAGGCTACGACACTTCTACTGGAATATTTACAGCACCTATCGGAGGACTGTACCAGTTTTCTGTTCATACATGTTCTAATCCTGCAAATTTTGCTTGTATTGATCTTGTGTTGGAAGATAAAGTTATTACAGCAGGTTCATACTATGATAAGGTTTATTACAGTGGTAGCACTGTTGGAGCATTAGTAAGAGTAAAATCAGGAGAACAAGTTTGGGTTAAAGCAACATCGTCAGCTTCTAACAGCCGGCTGTATCAAGACTCATATAGGATGAACACATTTAGTGGAATACTTGTCATTAACTGAAGAAAAAAATCATTCAACTTTTTAAAATGACATTATATATCTGATATTTTTACATATATTCATTCAATGATGATCGTTTTCGACGAATATTTTGATTACCCTATTTTGCTATGTTTATCAGTAATCATAAACAACTATATTGTCGAGTTTTCAAATAAATATTGCATGTCGTACACTTGTACTTTTTATATGTTTCTTTTTGCGCAAAATATATCATGCGCTATTATATGATGGATACATAAGTCTATTAATATTTTAACTAAATCCTTACATTGAAACACTGTTCATCACATGATAATTTACTGCAAAAGTTTATTATCGTATATTATAACTGGATATTTTATATCCCATGTTGTAATGAACTTTGGAAGGAAACAATGAGATGTATGTATGTCTAAATGTTGTTGCAATGACAGATAAGTGTTAATAAAATCCTAATTGTAATTAGCAAATCTTACAGCAAAGAATAACTAGAACTATCACTAAATGTGATTAATACCCCCACAATACTGCTTCGGAAATGAGGATGTTACTAGTAACAGAATACTTTGTAAAAGAATTGAAATATAGAGTTATGGTTGTGGGCAATTAAAGATAGTTGTGGTTAGAGTTATGGTTGTGGGCAATTAAAGATAGTTGTGGTTCTTATATGTTGCATTTCCTTTCAATGTGGTTGGCCATTGATGAAGTTTAATTGAATTACTCTGTAATAAGTCCAGAAAGACAAAGAAAAGGAACAAAGGGCAATAACTCTATAAATACTGAAGATAGAGTTATTGTTCTTGTGCACTGCACTACCTCTTATTGTGCTTGACCATTGTATGAAGTTGTTTTGAATTCCAACCAGTACGTTTGAAGTTATGCTCCTGACAAGGAAAAGTATCAATGGGCGGTATTTTGTATTATATCTGTATTTTGTCAAAATGAGTTATGGCTCTTGTGCACTGTACTTCCTTTTAATGTCCTTGACAACTGTATGAAGTTGTATTGAATTCCAAACAGTAGTTTTCAAGTTATGCTCTCGACAAGGAAAAGTAACAAAGGGCAATAACTCTGTAATTAGTCAAGACAGAGATATGGTTCTTGTGCACTGCACTTCCTCTCAATGTGCTTGACCATTGTATGAAGTTATATTGAATTCCAATCATAAGTCTTCAAGTTATGGTCCGGACAAAAATGCAATGGAAAAGCAACAAAGGGCAATAACTCTGTAATTACTTTAGATAGAGTTATGGTTCTTGTGCACTGCACTTCCCCTATTGTGTTTGACAATTGTGTGAAGTTGTTTTGAATTCCAAACAGTAGTTTTCAAGTTATGTCCCGGACAAGGAAAATTCACAAAGAGCAATAACTCTGTAATTAGTCAAGATAGAGTTATGGTTCTTCTGCACTGCACTTCCGCTCAATGTGCTTGACCATTGTATGTAGTTATATTAAATTCCAACTATTAGTCTTCAAGTTATGGTCCGGATAAAAAAAGCAATGGAAAAGCAACAAAGAACAATAACTCTGTAATTACTTTAGATAGAGTTATGGTTCTTGTGCACTGCACTTTCCCTTATTGTGTTAGACAATTGTATGAAGTTGTTTTGAATCCAACCAATAGTTTTCAAGTTTTGTCCCGGACAAGGAAAAGTAACAAAGGGCAATAACTCTGTAATTAGTCAAGATAGAGTTATGGTTCTTGTGCACTGCACTTCTTCTCAATGTGCTTGACCATTGTATGTATTTATATTGAATTCCAACCATTAATCTTCAAGTTATGCTCTGGACAAGGAAAATGCAACGGACGTCTGGACCGACCGACCGACCGACCGACCGACCGACCACCGGGTGACTCCTATATACCCCCAAAACTTCGTTTTTGGGGGTATAAATATGTAACAAAATTATAAAGAGGATATTTGTTTGTTTGTGTGTAAGATGAAATTTTATTTCATCGAGTGGGCTTTAAAAACAGTATTCTCACGAGTGGCGTCTGGACCGACCGACCGACCGACCACCGGGTGACTCCTATATACCCCCCAAACTTCGTTTTTGGGGGTATAAATATGTAACAAAATTATATAGAGGATATTTGTTTGTTTGTGTGTTAGATGAAATTTTATTTCATCGAGAGGGCTTTAAAAACAGTATTCTCACAAGTGGCGTAGCCACGAGTGAGAATACTGTTTTCAAAGTTCACGAGATGAAATAAAATTACATCTTACACAACAAACAGACAAATTTTCTTTTTATTTTATGCTTAAAAACAAGTTAAAACGAAATTTCCATGATTTTAACGTAAATATTAAAATATGTTTCCCCCATTGAGAGCCCCATTTAGTCGGAATTTCTCATTAAAAACAAGAAGTCTTGAACTGAAAAATAAGTCCGCAAAGCAACGTTAAATGACGGTAATTATTTTTCATTTTATTAAAAAAATATGAATGATCGCTTGTTTTAATAATAAAAACAAACAATTCTTGTAGGAGAAAAGTCGAACCATCCATTCATATTTCTGTTACTTACTGCGAATTTATATTAGACCTGGCTTTGTAAAATGTAAACGGCAGCCATTTTTTAAAGTTGTGTATTTCATGGGAGGAAAATAATTGTGTAAGATTCAGAGGGATATAATTTGGATTTGTTAGTCATACACCTTTTTCAAAGAAAGAAAACTTATTTGAGGATTGTAACCGACAAAAAATAAGTGTTTACAGATGTGAAAACATTCAGAAAAGTAGCTAGGAAAATGGAAAACTTGGAAGCTTGCTCAAGAACGCTGGGATGTTTTACTTATTCTTCGAGTGAAGGCTGTCAATGCTTTTTAATTTTTCATAAAGCATATTGCAGTTATTGCTCGTAGGATACTTTAATATGCCCAATTGTCATCAAGAGCAGTTTTTCATGGGGAAGGAATGTATTTTTTCAGACTGTAAAAATGAAATAAAAACAATTATAGACGAAATTTGGTGATTGGAATTTGAATGAGTAGAAGTAAGTTTTCTCCTTTTTTTTACTTCTAACATTTAAGTTATTTATCAATTTCAGCTTTGCTTTTTCTTTAAACAGCCGGACATTGTCAGAATTGTCAGCAAAAAATAAAATTGAGGTATTTCATGGGGAAACTCTTAAAAAAGTAGTTTCGTCATTGAAAAGAGTGAAATTATATTTTGATAATTTTCACTGTGAAATTATCAAATATAATTTTCACGGATAAATCAGTAATCCACTGAAAAACATAAAATGAAATGACGTAATGAAGAACACGTACTTTGTTTGAAAGTTTCGTTTGAAAATTCATATTCATTTGTTCATGTTAAAATTATTAATCACATACCCTGGCCGCTTTGCGACTCATTGAAAATGGTTTTCCACGGCTGTTCAGATATTTTGACGTGAGGTCGTTTGCGCTATATCGAACATAATAGAACAAATCAGAAATTTTATTACTTGGTTTAGGAATATCAAGATCATTATCATATTACATATACAAATACATAGAGGATATTTGTTTAGTTCAGTGTAAGATCGGAATATATTTCACCGAGTGAGCACCAAAAGGTATATTTCACGAGTGGCGCAGCCACGAGTGAAATATGAACTTTTGGTGTTCACAAGGTGAAATATATTTCGATCTTACACTAAACTGAACAAATTTTCTTTTTATTACATGCAAAGAAACGTTTTAAAAGACATTAAACCTAATACTGAATGAAAAGCGCGCCAAATAATAATACAACGTGACGTCATTTACGACGTCACGTCATTAAGTTGGTACCCAGTACTGTGCACGCTGGTATTTCACTGAAACAACGTAAGGGGCTTAAATTCAAAACAGTGAAATTATCAAAGTGGTAATTTCACTGTTTGAAACAGTGAAATTACCAGTTTTATATCACTGATATATTTCTATAAACCACCGAAAAGCATGTAATAAATCATATTATACATAAATGACACATGACATTGTAATATCGGTTACATGTCTCTCGGATCGAGAACCCAGAAAAATACATAGTGTATGTTTTATACGTTTATTCACTACAAGCAACTATTGTACACTACTTGGTTTTTAAGTGGCTGATACAGAGTGGCTTTGTAACATGATACATATATGTATATCATCATATATTGTATGGATCTTACAGACATGAACATATCATGATATATAACTAAAATATTTTGGCTTTTGAAATGTGAGAATGTTTTATGAGACAGGAAATTACGTCAAAAGCATTCAAATACATCTCGGACAATGCCAAAGAATTTGTCTATCTTTATCATACTATATGTTATTTAGCTACAATACATTTTTCATACTTGAGAAAAATGCCTATCAATACAATCCACAAAAAGAAATCTGAAATTTTAATGAAAACAGTGATTGTTACAAATGAAGGGGAATAACTTAACAAATATTTCAGCATTACTTTCCTTTAATAATGTATGATCAATAACAATAATTGAATTCATTTCAGCAGAATAAATGAAAAACGTTAGAATTAGTTTACTGATTTTTTACTTTACTTTATACAAACATAGTAAAAACGCGCAATGTTGGCTTTTTACCTCAAGAGTATAAATGCGAGAACTATTTTTTCTGTATGTATTAAATAGAATATTATAATCGTGCGGCTTCATTACTAAATCTTTTGAACTCTTTGAAAAAATAATCTTATACTCGACAGAGACTCGCTTTAACTCGTTAAAGATTCTGTATTGAACCTACACTTATTCATTATCCACTATATAACTTTATATTATATTACCCGGTCCAATGTGCCTATAAGTCACCAGAAATCATATAATAATGTCGTCATTATGTATGTACATGTATATTATTTATTGTTTTCAAATACCATTGGAGTCATGTTTATATTTCAGACATACATAAGAAGGTCGAATAAGATGTATTATTCTTGATTCCTGATTATAGTTTAAGGAGTATGTTTCGCATTATTTTCTTGTGATTATATCATCGCATTTGAATAAAACAGTCCCCGATGCATTAATATAAACATCTTAAAAAAGCGAAATCGAAAGAATAGGGTCTTCATTTTAAAGATTCTAGTTGTTCATGTAAAATGATTCCGCTAATATAACACACCGTTCATGTGTAAAACTACACTTAGCTTATAATTAAATTAAAATGAAATAAATTGAAAGAAGGATGAATGTTATTTCTGTCTAATATTACAAAGGAATACAAGTATTTTGATACGCTTGAGTAAATTACGATAACATTATCTTTATTAGTTAATAAAACTCTTACAGTAATTGTAAATAGTGCATATGGCAATTTACAGTTAAGCCATGAATAAATCTAAATTAAATGACAGTCTTAGGGGGCAGGGGACATATTCGAATGATGGCCACGGTCAAATTTTTTAATAACTCAGACATGGTGTTTTGAAGGTACTGATAACTTCTGATATGTCTCTGTCATTGTAATTCTTTCTTCTTTGTGTGTAGTAAATGAGATATATTTTTGGGTTTTTACCCGAAACTAAGTATTTTGGTAGCTTTGTATGTATTTCTGACTCTCCGAATGGAGGTGAAAAAGTTTAAAATCAAGCTTTGACAGTTGGCGCCAAACAAGTAAGAAATTTCAGATAAATTTTGTGAAAAATCTAAACGTATGACAGACACTTTATTTGTCATTTCTGAAAATGCCATGGCTTGCACTGCGTGTTACTGATATTTTTAAAGGAATCGGGCGGATTCTGGAGTATGCTGCACCTTCGTGAAGATTGCCCATATTGGTATATTTTAGGTGTGATTTTGGCTGGGTGGGGGTAAATATAAATTGCTGTCAGTCATTTTTTGAAGGAGCAATGCATACAAACTATTATTTTTTTCAATGTTTGTCATATATCATTGAATAATGCTGTGCAACTGGTTATCTGCCTGTGAAACATATTTTGAAATATTTGGAATTGTGTTTCTGGTCACACTGAAATACAAAATTTTTCATTTTTAGGTCCCCTGCCCCCTTATCATATCGTTTAAAACTTAGTTCGTCTTTCATAAGGGAATAGTATTTGGTTCAAATACAGTACATAACAAAACGTTTGTGGGGATAAGCATTTACAACAAATTGAGCACATATTCTGGGAAATTCACAAATTAAATGTTTTAATTTTCAATCGTCTGCAAGGTTAACAAAGTCTTGTGAGAGAGAACTATGCTCCAAAATATATTTGTTCTATATGGCGCACTGTAAGAGGTAATATTTTTTTGTCTTTTTCGTTGTTTGAGGACAAAATCTACAAATCCTCTGTTCAACCATTTCTCCTATATAGCGACCAGTTTCTATTTTAAGTGGCAATATACCGCTTCTTAACAGGCTATATTATAAATGTTCATATTCTGTAAGATTCAGATTTATGTAGTTTTCATATTCATTGTTTGATTTAAAGCGTCGATAAGATCTCAATTCTGCTACAGTTTTGATTTCACTTGACGATTTCTCTGAGAAGAAGTAAGTTATTGTTGGATCACGTGCCGTCCACAGCGTCATTGTTGATCTAGAAAAAAACCTTCTCTTATTTTAATGTTATCGGCGATTCGTCTAACGTCACTGGAACAATAGATGTTCTCCGGAACTCGGTACATGTGACTCCCCCCAGGTAATCCGTAGGTACCAAACTTTTTAAATTAAAATTAAATAAAATTTAAATTTAAAGAAAATTGTATTGTACAGTTTGAAATGCTAAACAAAATCACAAAAGCTAAAAGATGAAGGTCGTTTTAATAATAAATATTTAATTCTGCCTATAATTGTATATTATGGCTGTTTTTGTTAATTGCATATGTGCAAACATGACCCGAGTTTTGAGATTTTATTTTCCGAAACATTATTGTGACATAAAATATCAAATGAACGATAATACCTATTAATGTTTCTCAAGTTTTGAACTCCATGCATTTGTGCTAAAATAAGCATATACGGGCCTCATATTCATACAAACATGTGTTTTTTTGTAAATAAATGAGGTTTCGCTAAAGGGTTCAATCCAGAAAGCTTCTCAGATTTTGTGGTACAACTGTCTTCATCAAAATGAGGTTTTCACTGTTATTTGTGTTTGTTGTTGTCGTTGGAATATATAGTTATAATTTTCCTGAAGCTATAGAGCCTGTTTGTTCTAAATTTGCATATGAAAAACAGCTTTTAGAGAAAATGATAAGAACTGAAATTAAGGTAGAAACAATGGTGAATGAAATTAAGAAAACCGAGGATAATGTCATCAGTACATTAGGTGACATTAAACAAACAGTTGATGATTTCACGGACATGTTTGCGGACATGAGAGGGAACATAATGGACGAGATGTTCAAGAAAGGCGGAGAGATCAAAAGGAGAGAAGGTACAATGTATAATAAAAATATATAAAATCAAATATACATTTCCTACAGCAAAGCTAAAGTTTGAAATCATGTATATAAAAACTTTTGTATTTTTGTGGTGTCTCAATGATGAATGCACAATCTATAATGTTAATTTAGTTACTACCCTTAGCGTGATAGTTCGAAAAGTGCTATATACAGTGAATTACAGCTTTGTATACACAGCCCCCTCTTGTACATATTGTATATAAGGTATATTGGCTGGGTTGAGCTTAATTCATTACATTGTTTTATAATTGTGTAAATAATATGTTATTTTACTGTTCTATCCAGCCAATTATATAGCACAATTCAATTGGTGTTGTTGATTCTCGTAATAATTAAATTAAATTAATGCTTCGTAATGGCACCCTTTCAAGAGGTGAATTAAACATGTTTACCGAAACAATTTTAATAAAATAAGAAATAAACTGTATACCTTGTGCATGTTTCAAATAAAGTATAGTTTAATTTGTAATTGTTGGTTATATGGATCAATATATCTTAATAATTATTTATTGATATGTTAATTTGAAGTGATAGATAAAAGAAGTACAAAACATTACATATCTGTAATATATAACTATCTGTAAACTACAGTATATTCAATGTGTAAAACTATTAATGTTGCAAAAGTGACATATAATGTACGAGTTTCTACAAAAAAATGACACATACGCCTATAACTTTCATTTGATATTTTTAAACAATAACCAAAGCATGTAATGAATGACATTAAAAAAATAAATGATACATACTTTACTTTCTTAATTCTAAGAGAGACCGATATTATAGCAACAATAGAGATAGGATTCGTAATAGAAATAAAATAGAGAAAAACAGAATCCCTAAAGAAAGCCCAACACGGCAAAATTGTAAGATGTTGCAGTCTCGGTTTGATTGAGCCTATTCATGGACGGTAATGGAAATTGCAAGTTATGTCCACGCCCCCTAGCACCAGCTTAAGCAGAATTCAACATTTAAACACAAAAATGGTGAAATTTTGAATTTTGAAACATACGCAGATGTGTTCATACGGCGGTTATAATGCAACCTTCGATATGACACAGTAGTGGCATTCCATGAAAACTTACTTAACTAATACCCTTGAATTTTTAGATATGAGTTAATAGAATTTTAATACATTACATGTATTTCAGAATCGTGGCAACGAGGTTGAAAAAGAGAAACTTATTCAACTCCAAGGTATTATTACCTATTGTATATCAATTGTGTTTGATGTCTATTTATTTTCAACGGATCATAGCAAATTAAATTGTTGTTTACTTCACTCATGTTTTATCTTGGTATATCACGTGATCAATAAAATTTATAACAAACAATGTTGATATAACAAACAATGTTGCTCCATATGTACATTTCTAACTCTTATAAGACGTGTAGATGATTTTGTTTACATTCACACATTCTTGTTTGTAATTATTTGAATTATAAAAAACTCTAAAGATATTGGCCGAATATAAATATAAGGTTTTGTTGATTGCATGGGCCCCTTGAGTTAGATAATTTAGATATAAATTACAAAAATATAATTTCTATTCTCAGGAAAACTCGAACAACCTCCGATAGCTTTCGAAAGACTTGCTTCTTGATACTGCAAATGAGATTCTCATATTCGAGAAAACATACACGGACGAGGAAACAGGTTGCGACACGTCTACGGGATTGTTTACGGCACCTGTTGGAGTATTGTACCAGTTTTCTGTTCATACATGTGCTAGGCATAATAATTATGCATATCTTGGCCTGATGCTGGAAGGTAACGTTATCGCTGCAGATGCTAACTATGGAGATGCATCTAATAACTTTGGTGCAATAATAAGAGTTAAATCAGGAGAACAAGTTTGTGTTAAATCAGCATCGTCAAGTTCTAATCGCCAGTTAGTTCAAGACAGATACAAGATGAACACATTTAGTGGGGTACTTGTCAATAACTGAATTATAAATAAATCAATAAATATTGATTGAAGTAAAATCTGATTTCAGTGTTATAACATTGTTATTAGCTGGCGTTAAACGTAAACGTTTTGATGTAAACTGCTTCAATGCATTTCTTCAGACTCTTAATAACAGGAGTGTTTTGTGAAATAAGTCGAAAATTGTCGATTTATCTATGATGTGTCTATATATGTTGTGACGAATATTATTCATACAATGTTTTATTTTGCATATTACCATTATTAGTTTATGTTAGTATCTTATAGCAAAAAAGACTGATTGAAATTTATTACAGCAAAGAAAACGAACCTTCAAGCAATTGAAGTTTCTATGTTTATTAAAACAAATAATATACACCAGTGAAATTAAATCTATGACAAACATTAATGTAAAGAGTTATTATAAAAAAGCTGACATTATTAACAAAAGGACCACTAAAGGGAATGAACTTTACCATGTTAAGTTAGTGCATTCACTTCAGATCAATAAGAATAATTTTGATTTATATTTCTGCAATAGAATTATTTTACTCAACATGAACATTGTATATCTTATAGTCTAAGATAAACTTCTATTCTGTTCTGCTCCTTAAAAGTATAAACATGACTTAGACATTTTTCAAAGGATTTCAAAGTATGTACACAAAAATGTATTTGCATGTGCAAGATTGTAAATATTTGAGTGAAGCTAATAAATTACAAACAACACATGTTATTGTTTTCATGATGTGTATTACCTGACAACCTTAACAAGTCTCGGTGGTTAGAATAACCATATCAGTAAATATGGTACTGTATGGATTATCATCTAACTTTGATATAAATCTGAATTAGAATCTTGACCTATCGGACTGTGAGTCATGCATATATGCATACGCTTAAAACAAAGATCTCAAACATTTTGCGAATTTCAATTGTCAATCTTTCCTTTGAATATGTCATTATTTTTGTGAATAAAGTTCACATTACCGTGCAAACATCATGAAACAAACATGAAATGTTATAGTTGTAATAAGTTTAAAATCGATAATCAAACCAACGTTTTGAAAATATAAAATCATCGGAGTACTTAGCACTTTTGTTAAATGTACATATCATTAAGAGAGTCTGTACAATCGAGGAGTCTGCAACTGTCAGCTATTTGCTTTGTTTTTATTGCTCTCGAGAAATCTGCCTTTTACCAGATTTAGATACATATCAATTACATTATGAAGTAGCGAATCATCTCACTTTAGTGTTGTTATATTTTTCTGGTCCTTCGGGATCATTGATGCCAGCACTATTAAATGTTGAGAATTGAGTACCGCTCAAGCCGGTGCTAGGGTGCGTGAGGGATGTTGCATTTATTCATTATCCCTCATGTACAGACTCAATCAAACCGAGAGTGCAATTCTCGTGTACTTTTGTAGTGATTAATGCTTCCGAGGAATCACTTAGTTTCCAGATTTTCATATAGAAAATCTTATTCTGGCTTTACTTGTCCATATATTTCTAAAGTAACCTATGTAACGAATTAATGACATTTATTTTACTCCATTCACTTTAAATCCTTGTCCAATCAATAACTTGCAAAGTAATAAGCCCTGCATTTTATTACTTGATAGAGCCATTGCGTTAGTCCCTAAGTGGCCAGTAGAAAATCCCTTATAAATTTTGATGTCACATAGTAACTCGTGCTCCAGACATAGTAACTCGTGCGTACCTTTTAACTTTTGTGTACGTCTTAGACTCGTGCGCACGACTATGTAATTCGTATGTAGAACTTTGTAACTCGTGCAAACGACTAAGTATTTTGTGCGAACGACACAGTATCACTTTCCCATCTTATTTATTATCTCATGCGCACTCCTATATAACTTATGCGCAAGACAAAATATATCGTATGCACGATTTAATAATATCTCTCCATAATAAATATCTTAATAGTAGTATGTCGTCCAAACTTAGGGAGATAGCCATGTGATTATCATCCATTGTAAACACCTGTAATTCCCAGGGAGAGAAATATGTATACGTCACGGAGATTCTTACGAGAGGCAGTTTTATCTAGTGCCCTGCGCTCACTAAAGATTCTTTTGATAGAAAGCGGAATCAGATGAACAAGATCTTACAGAAATATTTTATAAGGTTTCCGGACATAAGATTCCCCCAATATTATGCGCGAGACTTGGTTATTAACTAATGCACAGGACTTAGCAACTCGCGCGCACGACTTCGTAACTCGTGCTTACGACTTAATAATCTCGTGTACACGACTAACTTACTTGCGCGCACGACATAGTATCTCCTGTGCACGAAATAAATAAAATCACACACATTTCCCGTCTGAGGCACCGTATATATATTAAGTAATAGCGTCTGCTATAATGTGGTTTTAATTGATATATCTAATTGTTACCGGTTTTATCATTGTAGTATAACGGCACCCATTGTCACCTTAATGTTTTTATCAGAGTGTCGCGTTAAATGTGAGGAAACTTATCATTTATTTAATGCGAGGACCACTCAGAAACATTACTTATAATCAAACAATATAATGATTTAGATAATTTAGATAAAATGTTATAAACAATTATATAATTACGTTTTCTATTTGAAAGAAGGGTCGGGAAGAGTGTTGCTTTACTTATAAACGATACCATTACATTACTAAATAGTATTTACAAATTTCATGCTATTCATTAATTTCAAAGAAATATGTTTAAGATTATTGAAATTCAAATAAATCTCGATAAACTTTATTATTATATTATTTTTAAAGAATATCGAATAATCAAATAATAAGGGTTTTGTAAATCGAATTCAGAAATAGTAACAAAGTTATTGATACTATAAAACAACAACATTCAACAATGGTAACGCATGCATTACAGTCGTTTTTTGTTGCCAAAGTATAACTAATTTCAAATGTAAAAATGTTTTACCGATTAAATGTAGACATCACGTTTCCAGACATGTTAACCTATTCTCTCTTATTGTACCGCCTATGCATTATCGAATTTCGACCACGTAATGAGTTGGCAATATATACAAATGTATATTTTTAAATTATAAAAAGCTATAAAGAACCACGCACATCCACTCTGAAACGCGTTACAGCTCACAAGTTCCTGTTTAGCTGGAATTCATCGAAGGTTTGTCATTAAATTTTGAAGATATTGTAAAAATGAAAGAATGTATGTACGAACATAAAATCATTTATTTTAAAAAGGACACATATAATTCTTTATAAACGTACATTTACAGCGAGGGCTGCGACATTCATATGAGTTAATTTGTCATCAAGAATATGTTTTTTGCAATGAATGTTTGTTGTACAATAAAAAAAGGATATTGAATGTAAGTTCAGCAGATGCTGAACAAGACCAACAATGAAAGCCGGCTTTGGACACATCCCAGAAAATAGCCCAGCAACACAGTTCCAATATTGAATTCATTGAATGAATTGAATAAAAATATATATATTTTTTATTCAACAAGGTCAATGAAGCTACACGAATATAATATTCTATTTTCATCATACCGAAAATAATAACTGTTAACAATAAAAAAGGTGCAATTTTCATTGACACGTTTATACTATTACGCTAACATTTAGCGCGCCTTTACTCTATATTTCTATAGCGCAAATGCCATCACATCAAAATGTGCACGGCCGTGCAATACCGTTCATGTGGAGATAAACAACACGGGTATTCTTATATAATGATAATTGAGATATTATGCTATCCTATCATTTATTTAATAATATTTTTTACAGAACGAAATTTTTCTATGTTGCCGACACAAAAAAATGTTGCCGACACAAAAAATGAGCTATTGTTTTGAAGTTTGTAAAACGTTCCTTGATAACAAGTGCTAAAGAACCATAATCAAAGGTTTTCGTATGGGCCTCTTTTCAAAAAAGTCGGCAGATTTCCCTATTATAAAACACAACAGTTTTAATAACGGCTTGAGCTTCAGAGGGTGTTTTTAAGCATTTCGTAGTAACTTATTTAAAATGACTTTCATACCGTCATGTGCGTTTTTAATTATCTTTGGAATGTATAGTTCTCAAGTCTTGGAGGCTAAAGAACCTGTATGTTCTAAATTTGCATATGAAGAACAGCTTTTAGAGAAAATGATAAGGACCGAAATTAAGGTATAAACAACGGTGAATGAAATTAAGAAAACTGAGGATAAGGTCATCAGTACATTAGACGACATTAAACGAGCAGTTGCTGATTTTACGGACATGTTTGCAGACATGAAGGAGAACATAACAGACAAAATATTAAAGAAAAGTGACGAGATAAAAAAGAAAGAAGGTAAAATATGAACACCAGATCTACATTGTAAGAAAATGATATTTGTATACTGAAATATTACTGATGCAATGAGAAAAATGACAATATCTTTGGAATATTTATCATTTAATTGACAACTGATCGTATTATAAGCCTGAATCAATATCGCTCAAAAGTTCGTAACTGAAATGAGAAAATGTGAAATATGATAAATAATGGAATATTTAGAATTTAAAAATCATTAGCTTTAAAAAAGGAAACATTTCATACACCGGTTACAATGCTGACTCATTTACCTAAACATTCTATGTTTATAAACGGTAGAATATGGCATAATTTGTACTACTGCAAACTTTTAATATATTTTCAGTTTCCTTAACCTGTCTCGTTACGAAACGCTTCGTAAAATAACAATATTATAAACATTACATTACTGCTGGCCATGTAAAACAAGGTTTAGTGTTATCAGCAACACGTTCTGCATACAGTTCATATACACACATAATAACATACATAATACTTATTTAACATTGGTTACGGTTAATAATTTTAATTTGATACTTTTTACAAAATCCTTTCAGAAATTATTTGAGGAGATAAGAACAAACCTCACTAGTGACATGGAAGCTAAAAGAGAAGAACTTACTCAACTTCAAGGTAGTGTTTCTCATTTCACTTCCACGTAATAAATACTTTCCAAAACTTTGTTTTGATT